GAGGCTGCGGCGGGCGCGCGCCAGGGGCCAAGAGGCAGGGCAGGAAAGCTGGGCCAGAGAAACAGGAGCCCAGAGACATGGGGAAGTGAGAGTGGAGGGTGGGGCAGTGAGGGGAGGATGCCCCAGCAAGGGGGGTGCCTCGGCCTGCCCTGCCTTCCCCATAGGCCGGTTTCACTGGTGACAGGAGGAAGGATGTGGTACTTCCCAGTGGCTCACTCATGCCGTGCAGGGCTGTTGCAAGGGCCTGCTGCGTCAGACGGGAGGGGAAGCCAGGCCGTCCAGCACCCCCGGGGCTGGGCTGTCGTTCCTGGGCCAGACGGCAGAGGGCGACGGCTGTTTCCAAGGCCTGTACCTCCCATGCCATGTGCCCTGGAGCCCAGCGCCTGCCCTCCAAAGCGGGGCGCTGCCCCCACTCAGCTGCCTAGTGGCTTCCTCTCCCTTGCAGGGCTGCCCAGCCTCACAACGGCCGGCGAGGCCGGATTAGGGTTCTCGTTCGCTCCCGGTCTGTCGCCTTCAAACTTGTGAACTGTGGCCCTGATCCAAAATGGCCGCCTTCTCCTGCTGCTGTCAGTGGGACTGAAGCCGAAGCTCCTGTCAGCCAAGCTAGCTGGCGTGCCCACACCAGCCCCACCCACTAACGATGCCCGAACGAGGCACCGCTCTCAGGAGCTGCCGAAAGGTGATGACGTGAGCTCCCTGGGCTCCATCCGACCTGTGGGCTGGGCTCCCTCGTGGCAGCACGAAACACGAAGTGGAGGCCTCTCCCAATGCCTGCTGCTCCTGACTCCCCAACAAGCCCTCACGCCACGCAGGCGGCACAGGGCTCCCTGCTCGGCTGGCTGCTCTCCTTACGTGGGCTGAAAGAGCTCAGCGCGGATATCTGACTTAGCACCCCCAAAATGTGGGGGGGAAGGGGAACATCACACCTCAGAGCTCTCATCTCAGGCGGGCATGGCCGCACCGGCTGTGCGCAAGCCAGGTTTCATGTCACAGCCGTGAGGGCTGCAGAGGTTCTGTTGGTTAGACAAACACTGAGAAGGCAGCCTGGGGGAGATGAATATGCTGTAGAGCTATGTACCCACTAATAGCCCTGGGCTTCCCCCCAATTGCTTCCAGTGGGGCTAAAGCCAGGCTGCCCTCAGAGAAGATGGTAGCTCCCCAGTTAGGGCCAAGCAGGAGACAGAAATGTGGAGGTACAAGGAATGAGCCTGTGACTGCAGCCGGGAAGGGGGGTGCATTACGAAACTGGAGTCAGAGGTGTGGGGTGTAGGAGGGAGACGACCTTGATGGAGGTGGGGTTGCCAGGGTGGTTGGTTCAGGGCGGGGGTGTCCCATAGAAATTAGCTGGGGGTGGGCTTCTTGGGAGGTTAGATATGAAACAGGTTCCTGGGGTGGTTAATTGGGGATGGGGTTCCTGGGGTTATTAGTTGGGGGTGGGTTCCTGGGGAGGTTTTAACCCTGGAGCTAGCTGTGGTGTAAGTATTGAGGACTGTTGGAATTACAAGCTATCACTGCAAGAGTGGAGGTTTTCTTGGTCTTGCTTGCAGGGACGTGTGTGATCAGAGCCAGCCTAGAACAAGGTGGGGTAAGTAGTAAGTAGGCTCCTGCCTTGGGGAGCAGCCTGGTTTCTTTCTCGCTGGTGAAAGCCGTGTTATGCTGCAGCCTTCCAGCGGGAGTAGGGATGTAAGAGTGTAGTCGATGAACCAATAAGCAAAAGCTTATAGGTTAATGCTATAGAGTACACACATTTCCACCTCCCCCCCCACACACACTTGCCAGTACATTTTTTAGCAGGCTGGCCAGCGGGCCAGCTCAGTCCTGGCTTGAAACGGTCGGGGACCTATCCCTGCTGCGGCTCTGCATTTAAAATCTATTAGGAGCTGGGTGGGCAGGTAGCCTGGCTCAGTTCCCGCTTGCACTGGTTCCGGGAGTTCAGACCCCCCTAGTTAGGGGCTGCTGCTGCCCCACGCTGCTGCCTCTAGCAGAGGTGGCAGCGGAGGGCCACAGGCAGCCGGTCCGCGAGGGGAGCTGGTTTTTAAACTGGCTTCCCTCATGGACCAGCTCCCGCCTGGCCCCCTGCACTGCTGCCTCTGATCCAGAGGCAGCAGCGTGACATGGCAGGGGGCTCCTCAGGAGTGAGGCTGGAGCGCACTGGCCCCGCCCCCAGGGACTCTCGACTAGTGGAGTAACGATCAGTATTCTTGAGGTTACTCGACTATTCAGTTAACCGATGTTTAGCAGCCCTAAGCGGGAGCGTTTGATGTTTGTATCCAAGGTCTGTGGGCAGGAGAGGAGCGTCCCAGGGGAAATCCTTGTAGCACACTCATGGCATGAGGGGATGTCCACGGCCTCGCCCTATGGAGACGGGTTCCGCTGCTGTCTATGTGCTCAAGGCAGGTCTCCGGAGCCAGTACGACGCCTGCGCTGGCTGCACACCAGGCCTGGCCTCCCGCCCGGCCCATTCTGGCCACCGCACACCATGGGGCTCTGCTGGCAGGGGCTGAGCTGGGAGATCCAGGCTGCTTGGCCATGGCGTGTTGGGGGAGGAGCCCCGACACCTAACACCAGCCAGACCCAGGAGCCCATCTCCGTCAGCCTCTTCTGGCTGCTTGGAGCTAGCTGGGCTTGCACGCTCAGTGAAGCCGGTCCTTGCAGCCTGCCAGAGGAAGTGGTTAGCAGCACGTGGCCTGCTGAGCCTAGAATTGCCTGAGCCACAAACACCTTGAAGGGCTTTGATCCATGAGCTAAAACCTGGTGAGGTTTCTGCATAAGTTTCTCACCAGCCTGAGAGCAAGTTTCTCACCAGCCAACTGTTCTCTGCAGAGGCAGCGCAGCCTGTCAGCAGCCTCCCAGGCAGGAAGTGACAGGCGCACCCCCACCCCCAGCCATCCTTCCACAGGCAGGGGCTTTCACACCCCTGTGTTGGGCCGCATTCCCCTGCACCCCTGCTCTCACTCACCCCGGTGCAATCCCAGGCCATCTCCCCGCCGGCTCCCGGCTCTGACGCATTCCATGCTCCCTCCCAGCTCATCTGGTGCCGGGCAACCCCCAACATGGCCACCCCCAGCCAGCCAGCAAAGGCAACGCCACAGCCCACGGCCCTGGCGGCAGGATCCACCCTAGTGGTCCCCTCACCCCGTCCTCTGCTCGGAGCACGTCAGCCCCTGGACAAGTGAGTGCGAGCCTAGACAGGAGCAACCCCAGAGATCGGGGGAGTCAGGAACCAGGCAGAGGGGGGCAAAGAGACACCCAGCTGAGGAGGGGGGGCAAGGAGACCCCCAGCTGAGGAGGGGGGGCAGGGACGTAAGAGCGATGGGGGGCAAAGAGACACCCAGCTAAGGGGGGGGCAGGGACATAAGAGCGATGGGGGGCAAAGAATCACCCAGCTGAGGAGGGGGGGCAGGGACGTAAGAGCGATGGGGGGCAAAGAGACACCCAGCTAAGGGGGGGGCAGGGACATAAGAGCGATGGGGGGCAAAGAATCACCCAGCTGAGGAGGGGGGGCAGGGACGTAAGAGCGATGGGGGGCAAAGAGACACCCAGCTAAGGGGGGGGCAGGGACATAAGAGCGATGGGGGGCAAAGAATCACCCAGCTGAGGAGGGGGGGCAGGGACGTAAGAGCGATGGGGGGCAAAGAGACACCCAGCTAAGGGGGGGGCAGGGACATAAGAGCGATGGGGGGCAAAGAATCACCCAGCTGAGGAGGGGGGGCAGGGACGTAAGAGCGATGGGGGGCAAAGAGACACCCAGCTAAGGGGGGGGCAGGGACATAAGAGCGATGGGGGGCAAAGAATCACCCAGCTGAGGAGGGGGGGCAGGGACGTAAGAGCGATGGGGGGCAAAGAGACACCCAGCTAAGGGGGGGGCAGGGACATAAGAGCGATGGGGGGCAAAGAATCACCCAGCTGAGGAGGGGGGGCAGGGACGTAAGAGCGATGGGGGGCAAAGAGACACCCAGCTAAGGGGGGGGCAGGGACATAAGAGCGATGGGGGGCAAAGAATCACCCAGCTGAGGAGGGGGGGCAGGGACGTAAGAGCGATGGGGGGCAAAGAGACACCCAGCTAAGGGGGGGGCAGGGACATAAGAGCGATGGGGGGCAAAGAATCACCCAGCTGAGGAGGGGGGGCAGGGACATAAGAGCGATGGGGGGCAAAGAATCACCCAGCTGAGGAGGGGGGGTAGGGACCAGGAGCTGAGGACTAGTTCAGGGGCTCCACCATTCCCTGCCAGCCCTGGAACTGGCTGGAGGGGGCTCTGCCAGAGTCTAGTGTCAGGTCCGACCCCGGCAGCTGGAGCCCTTCAGGGCGGGGAGAGGGGGAAGCGCCGGCCGGGCCGGGCCGGTCACAGCTGGGATGTGGGCTGCCCTGTGCCGGAGTGGGCAGGGGCGCGTCTCACACTCACCTTCTTCTTCTGCGCCTGCTCCTTGTCGCTGGCGTTGGACGGCTTGCGGCGCAGCATGGCTCCCGCGGCAGGGCTGGGAAGGGGCGAGCGAGGCGCGGGCTGAGCCGCGGAGCACAGCGCCCGGCGTGTCTCACTGCACCGAGGCAGACACGGGGAAGTGCACAGGAAGCCACGGCGTCACATGGGCCACACTTACGGCAAGGGCTGCTCCCGGGCAGCTGGTGCGGGGGGAGGAAGTAGCTTGCAG